TAACCCAGGCTGGAGTGCAGTGGTGTGATCTCGGCTTACTGCAACCTCCGCCTCCTGGGTTCAAGTGATGCTTCTGCCTCAGCCTCCCAAGTAGATCGGATTACAGGCATATGCCACCAAGCCCAGATAATTTTTTCTATTTTTGGTAGAGATGGGGTTTCACTATGTTGGCCAGGCTGGTCTTGAAGCCCTGACCTCATTCATGATCCACCCTCCTCAGCCCCCCGAAGTGCTGGAATTACAGGTGTGAGCCATCATGCCAGGCCAGGAATTCCTTATATATATACTGTTAGGTAAATGTATCGTGAATATTTTTCCCCAGTTTCTGGCTTGCCAATTCATTTTCAATGGTGTCTTTTGAAAAACAGACATTTTAAATTTTGATGAAGTACTCTGGTTCATCAAGCCAGTAAAATGGATGCTTTCTCACCAGTTTTTCTATCCTGGGCCTGCCCTCAGGCTAAAAACCATAAAACTGGAATGTCGCTCAATACCTCTCCCTTCTAAGCATTGATGTCTATCATCCGCTTGGTTTTGGTTGTTCTCCAGGACCTTCAAGGAGTTGTCCAGAGCTTATAGCTATTTTCTCCTGCAGTTGATCTAATAGGATCTACTTAATCATTACCAAGTCTTTTCTTTTAAGTATTTTGCCTTTTACATTTAAATCTGTAGCTCATGTACAATTTATTTTTGTGTATGTATGTGGGAGAAATCAAATTTTTAAATAGTTCATCCTATCCTGACTGACTATAATACCAACTCCAACATTTATTACCTTCTCATATGTGATGAATCATTATGCATTCTGTTCTATTTTCACACTTGTTACTTGGGAAAGAAAAAAAGAAATTTTTATCAGAAATATGAGCGCCTTTACATTATCAGGCCCAGAGAGGCATTGAAATAGAACAGCAATCATGTCACTTTCCCTTGAGCTAAATAATTATTACCTCTTGAAGCCAGCTGCTATGTGGGATGCCAGGTAACCATCAAATGCCGTACACCCCGTAGTTCAACAATATGTGGCCAATCACAACTAACGTTATTTCTGTAACCCAGTGAACATTCCTGACAACTTTTGTGATCACCTCCTCTTTGTAATCACCCCCCGGTTCACTTCGGGAGGCTGAGGCAGGTGAATCATGAGGTCAGTAGATTAAGGCCATCTTGGCTAACACAGTGAAACCCCATCTCAACTAAAAATACAAAAAACAGCCGGGCGTGGTGCCACAGCCCTGTAGTCCCAGCTACTTGGGAGGCTGAGGCAGGAGAATTGCTTGAAACCGGAAAACGGAAGTTGCAGTGGGCGGGCAACTCGCCACTGTACTCCCGCGTGGCGATAGAGCAAGACTCCGTCTTAAAAAATAAATAAATAAATAAACTTAAATTGTTGAAATACTTTATTTCTAAATACTTCAGTGGGTATTTCCTTAAAAAATTTTCTTATATAACCGTAGTATAATTATAAAAATCAGTGAATGTTGATGCAGTACTCTTTTATCTAATTCAGGCTTTCAAATTTTACCAATTGTCCATATAGAAAAAGGGGGAAAATACTTTTTTCCCTGGTCCAGAATTATACATTGCATTTACTTGCCATTTTTCTAGTTTCTTTTGATCGGGAACAATTCTTCAGTCTTTATCTTTGGTGACTTTGTCATTTTATTAAAGAGCAAGTGTGCTATTTTATGGAATGTTCCTCAATTTGAGTTTCAGTGTAATGTTTCCTCATGGATTCAAGCTGTGTATTTTTGGTAGAATGCCACAAAAGTGATGTGTCCAGGCCGGGTGTGGTGGCTCACACTGTAACCCCAGCACTTTGGGAGGAAGAGGTGGGTGGATCACCTGAGGTCAGGAGTTTGAGACCAGCCGAGCCAACATGGCAAAACCCTGTCTGTACTAAAAATATAAAAATTAGGTGGGGCCGGGCGTGGTGGCTCACCCCTGTAATCCCAGCACTTTGGGAGGCCAAGGCAGTGGGATCACGAGGTCAAGAGACGGAGACCATCCTGACCAACATAGTGAAAGCCCACCTCTACTAAAAATACAAAAATCAGCCGGGTGTGGTGGCACGCACCTGTGGTCCCAGCTACTTGGGAGGCTGAGGCGGAAGAATCGCTTGAACCCAGGAGGCAGAGGTTGCAGTGAGCCAAGATGGCACCACTGCCCTCCAGCCTGGCAACAGAGCAAGACTCCATCTCAAAAAAAAAAAAAAAAATTAGGTGGATGTGGTGGTGGACACCTATTTTCCTATCTACTCGGGAGGCTGAGGCAGAAGAATCGCCAGAACCTCAGAGGTGGAGGCTGCAATGAGCTGAGATCGCACCATTTCACTCCAGCCTGGGGGACAAGAGTGAAACTTCATCTCAAAAAAAAAAAAATTATTTGGGTGTGGTGGCATGCACCTACTTGGGAGGCTGATGAAGGAGAATTGCTTGAACCTGGGAGGCAGAGGTTACAGTGGGCCGAGATCGTGCCACTGCACTCCAGCCTGGGTGACAGGGCTAGACTCTGTCTCCAGAAAAAAAAGTGATACATCCTTGATAGTGTATCATCTCAGGAGGCACATAAAATCTAGTTGAGCCAATACCAATGATATTAATTCTGCTTACCTGGTTAAGGCATTGTCTGTCAAATTTCTCCACTATAAAGTTTCTTTTTTTCCCCTTTGTGTGTTTGTTTTTTTTTATTTTTTCTTGATTCAATTTTTTTTTTTTTTTTTAGAGACAAGATCTTGCTCTGTTGCCGAGGCTGGAGTGCAGGCATGAAGACAGCTAACTGCAGTGTCAACCACCTGGGCTCAAGCAATCCTCCCACCCTAGTCTCCCAAGTAGCTGGGACCACCGACGCATGCCACTATACCCAGCCAATTTTTAAATTTTTTTCTAGAGACAGGGTCTTGCTTTGTTGTGCTTTGTTGCCCAGGCTGGTCTCAAACTCCTGGGTTCAAGCAGTCCTCCCACCTCTGCCTCCTAAAATGCTAGGATTACAAATATGAGCCACTGCACCCAGCCTGATTCTGTTTTGGTTTTTGTGTTTTTATTTTTATTTTTATTTTCTTTGAGACAGAGTCTCACTCTATTGCCTGCCCAGGCTGGAGTGTGGGGCAAATTTGGCTCACTGCAACCTCTGCCTCCTGGGTTCAAGTGATTCTCCTGCCTCAGCCTCCCAAGTAGCTGGGATTATAGGTGTGTGCCACCATGCCTGGCTAATTTTTGTATTTTTTAGTAGAGATAGGTTTTTGCCATGTTGGCCAAACTTGAACTCCTGACCTAAAGAGATCCTCCCACCTCAGCCTCCCAAAGTGCTGGGATTACAGGTGTGAGCCACCATAGCTGACCCTGATTCCGCTTTTAAGAGTAATTTCTGGAGCAAGAATTGTTTCCTGGGGGCGGGGGTGGGGGGAGTGGTGGAAATAGTTATAGGGTGAGGCGCTTATAATCCTACCACTTTGGGAGACTGAGGCAGGAGGACTGCTTGAGCCTAGGCGTTCGGGACCAACTTGGGCAACAAAGCAAGACCCTGCCTCTACAAAAAATTTAAAAACTAGCTGGGTGGGGTGGTGTGCACCTCTGGTCCCAGCTACTCGGGAGGATGAAGTGGGAGGATTGCTTGAGCCCAGGAGTTCAAGGCTGGAGTGAGCCCATGATCACCTCACTGCACTCTAGCCAGGGCAACAGAGATTCCCTATCTCTTAAAAAAAAAAAAAAAAAAAAAAAAAAAAAAAAAAAATATATATATATATATATATATATATATATATATATATATAGAGGACAATTCAGGTTTTGTCTTTTATCTTAGTTTTTGTAGGTCCTAGGAAAGGGCAGATGTCTTCAGGGGTTCTTTTGCTCCTTTACATTGATTGTGAATGAGTGAGCAGAGAGAGAGAAGCAAACTGAGGCCAATTTGAGATCTTTGTTTTTACTGGCAAGTTTGCAGCTACTCCTTTTCACCACTAGATGGCAGTGCTAACAGCTTATAACTGCACATGTTCAAAGGCTGATGAAAAAATAAAATTCAATTTTATGATGATATTTATTAAAATGTAATTCTATTTACATGATCTTGTAATATTCATTTAGGTACTATATTATATCACAAAATGCATTAAATATGTTTATGAAATAATACGATTTGTAAAAGGTTTGCAGACTAGTAAAATCGTGAAAAATCTGACAGGTTTTTAAAAATGTTCCTAAAACTATGGTTAGAAACTAGAGAATTAATATGCAATAGACCGTTATCTCAGAATTACTTGGAATTGAGGATGGGCCCTCAGTGGGCCAGAACCTATAATACATCATATTGTGTTTACTTTTCCTAGCATGAACAAGGCTCAGTTAAGATGTTTGAGCACCTAATTAATTCTAATGGACTCAAGGCTGTCATGGAAAGCTATGGTCTCATCCCTGAAGAAGATATTTGCTTTATCAAGGAACAAATTGCAGGACCACTTGAATCACCTATCAAAAAAGATTCTTTGGTAAGTTTATGTACAACTTAATTTTAACTGACTGGTGCTTTTCATCTAGCCTTTTCATGATTCCTTCCGAGTTACACATTTGGCTATTTTAGAGGCTAAATGACAAAATATGAGTTCTATATTTCTACTGTTTAATGCAACAATAAAAGGCTTACATATTTTTTTACCTCTCAACTGAATTATTTAGAAGTTACTTCCCAAAAAATGTATATATATAAATTCTTTTTTTTTCTTTTTTTTTTTTTTGAGACAGGGTCTCACTCTGTCACCAGGGCTAGAATACAGCGGGACAGTCTCAGCTCACTGCAACTTCTACCTCCCAGGCCCAAGTGATCCTCCCACCTCAGACTCCTGAGTAGCTGGGACCACAAACATGCACTACCATGCCCAGCTAATTTTTGTATTTTTTGTAGAGATGGGGTTTTGTCATGTTGACCAGGCTAATCTTGAACTCCTGAACTCAAGTGATCCACCTACCTCTGCCTCTGAAAATGCTGGAATTACAGGTGTGGGCCACTGTGCTCAGCATAAATTCTTTTTTTTTTTTTTTTTTTGAGACAGAGTTATACTCTGTCGGCTAAACTGGAGTGCAGTGGCATGATCTCGGCTCACTGCAACCTCCATCTCCTGGGATTAAGTAATTCTCCTGCCTCAGCCTCCCGAGTAGCTGGCATTACAGGCATGTGCCATCATGCCTGGCTAATTTTTGTATTTTTAGTAGAGACGGGGCTTCACCATGTTGGCCAGGCTGGTCTCAAACTCCTGACCTCAGGTAGTTCACCCACCTCAGCCTCCCAAAGTGCTAGGATTACAGGTGTGAGCCACCACAGCCAGCCATAAGTTCTTTTTTAGTGACTATATCTGCAGTATTTTATTCATTTAAAAAACACTTTTCTTAGAGATGTGGTCACACTATGTTGCCTAAGCTGGTCTCGAACTCCTGGGCTCAAGTGATTCTCCCACTTTGGCCTCCCAAAGTGCTAGGACTACAGGCGTGAGCCACCATACCTGGCCTGCATTATTTTATATAGAATCCTAAAGTAACTTTGTTTGGAATGTAAATGTGTGTTTCATTTAACCATTAAAATAAACATATTTGTCCAGGCTCAGTGGCTCATGCCTGTAATCCCAGCACTTTGGGAAGCCAAGGCGAGAGGATCACTTGAGCCCAGGAGTTTGAGATCAGCCTGGGTAACATACTGAAACCCTGTCTCATGCCTGTAGTCTTCAGCTTCGGAGGCTGAGGCAGGCTGCAGTGAGCTGTGATTGTGCAGCTACACTCCAGCCTGGGCAACAGAGCTAGACCCTGTCTCTGAATTTTTTTAAATCTTATTTGAAATGTTTCGATATATGAAGATCTACAAAAAAGTTGAACTGGTTCAATGGAGAATCTATTTTGTTTCCTTTTTGATCTTTTTTTTTTTTTTTTTTTTTAAAAATAAAGTTGAAAAATAATTTTCCCTTGAGACTTTTAGGGCTTTTTCCTCAAATATATTCAAGTATACTTATAAAGAGATGGGTTTTGTAACAAATGTCCTATTTTCCAAAAAAGTGAAGCTCAAAGAATACTTTGAAGAATGTATATTATTTAGATTAGGTGTGTTGCTACTTTGAAAGATAGTTCTGTTTTAATGCATGAAATCAGGCATTATTAGTTTATTAGATTGTATATATTTTAAAAGTTTAATTTTTTTAAGATGGAGTCTTGCTCTGTCACCCAGGCTAGAGTGCAGTGGCACAATCTTGGCTCACTGCAACCTTCACCTCCTGGGTTCAGGTGATTTTCCTGCCTCAGCCTCCCAAGTAGCTGGGACTACAGGCACCCACCACTATACCTGGCTAATTTTGGTATTTTTAGTAGAAACGGGGTTTCACCATCTTGGCCAGGCTGGTCTGGAACCCCTGACTTCATGATCCACCTGGCTTGGCCTCCCAAAGTGCCACGATTATAGGCATGAGCCACAGCACCTGGCCTAGGTTTTATATTTTTAAAAAACTTACAAACCAAGAAAATACAAAAGTTGTTGGTTTTGGGAAATGTAATAGAGTTAAGATCTTTTCAGTGGCACAAGAAAATGTGGTAACAATAGGGTATCATATACCTTAGCATTTCTTTTCCCTCTTTACTAGTTTAGAAATGAAGTTGAAGAAGGAAAGATTAGAACCTTCTAGTTTATCTCATATCTGTTTATAATTTACAGATTAATAGAATTGCTTTGCTTTGCTTATAAATAGATTTGGTGCCTTTCCTAAAACTTCCAGTGGGTTTTCTTGCCTTCCAGTGGCCATATAAAGGGCGTCCTAAAGAGAAAAGCTTCCTTTATGAGATAGTGGCTAATAAAAGAAATGGCATTGATGTGGACAAGTGGGATTATTTTGCCAGGTATGCACTAAACACTTCTGAAAAATTGGCTAAAATCTTTATATAAATTTAGCATTACTATTTAAGGTATGGCTTCCATGTTGAAAGATTTCATATCTCTGCTTTGGAATCCTTCTAGGGATTGCCATCATCTTGGAATCCAAAATAATTTTGATTACAAGCGTTTTATTAAGTTTGCCCGTGTCTGTGAAGTAGAAAGCAAGTTGCATATTTGTACTAGAGATAAGGTAAGCTATGTCAGAGGAAACAGCGAGAAGAGTGTTGTTTCTGGTCTGAAATTTGCAAAGAACCATTTAACAATATGAAATAATTGGTAAATCATCAATCTCTTAATTCCTAGGATTTGTGAATATCTTTAATCTCTTCACTTCTACTGCATTGTTAAAAAGTAATAAAATTAAAATGGACATTTATTAAGTTTTGATTTAGACACTGGTTTGGGTTTTGTTTTTTTTTTTT